ATATGCCTTTTTCTATTTCAAAATTTTGTTAACATGAAAAGTCACACATAACCAAAGTGATCTAAATGTTTGTATAAGACTTATAAACTGTTAATCTTGGATTTCAAGTCTACAATGTTGTTCTAGCTTAGCATAGGTCTGGCTTTTATAGGTATTTTTATTTCATTCAAACTATCATTATAAGGGAGAGCAACCATATATTGTTTTCTTTTTCAAAAAGAATTTAGTGAATCAGAACAACTTTTTTATACAATTTTGATTTGAAAATCAAAAATTCTTTTTTGTAATACAGGATTTTGTAATTGTTGTTCTATTTTATTTTATTTTGTAAAAATACATCTTGTTTAAGATGCATAAACTAAAGTTTTTCAAAAGTCAAATTGTTTATTTGATGAGTATGAACATAATATGCTATGAATAAATTAAGATTTCTAGTTTTTGTTTTTCTAGAAATGGAAAAATATGTTTTGAACTATTAAGATTTATAGTAATGCTTTCATTGCTAGTTTTGTAAGGAGTGATCATATCATTGAAAGGAGTGCAAAAAATAATAGGATGATTAAAATTATTTGTAACAACAAAATTTTTTAAGATAATTGATGCCTAATATTATTTTCTTTCGATGAATTTGTTGGTCATTGTAATATCCATGACCTAATTTTCTATACAATATGTATGGCTAAGCATATTATCCCTTCACTTGAGTGTTTAAGTTGTATTCTTCAAAACTAAACTTTGGATAACTACCCATGCTTCTATCTCTTTTCTAAATCAAGAAAATAGTGGTGGTAATTGATTAGACCATCATTCTTCTCATCATAGAGCTTGGATTACTTTTATTGTAGTTGATGCATATGCCATCCATTGTTAGTTATTTTTAAGGCTTAAGCATTTTAGTACAAGTGTCGGTTATACCATACGGTTGGGTTATGAAAGTTCCAAGTATTTGTTGTACCAAGTGTTATATAATATAAATCTAAATTAATCATTTAACAAGCAAAGTATTAAAAGTAAACAAGATAACAAATACAAAACATATGAGTATCAAACATTAAGGTCTATGTTTGAGTTTATACTATACTTATTCTTACACTATTAGTTTATCATTTTCATCTTGACATAATAAACTTAACTAAACATAATAAAAAAGAGAAACATAAATAATATAAAAGTTAACCAAGTAAAGAAAAAGAAATAAGAAGCATAAACAAGAGATTAATATAAGCAAAATTTAAGCATTACAATAAAGAAAGAACAAGAATATGATCTTAATCTGAAAACTAAGATGTCTAAATGAATGGCAAATGCCTCCTTTTAGAGGCCAAAATTAGGAACTATTGATTTGTTTACTAATTATTGAGTGGATGACCACATATTAACTTGATGACAATCCTTATCTTCTTGTCTGAACAAAACATCATTGCTAACATCAGAATTTGAACAAACTTAACCATGAAAATTCTAGAAAATTGTCTCAACTTTCTAACAAAAAAAATAAATTGAGATCATTTGGACTTTTAGAACTCAAGATATAGGCCGAACATTGAACAACATTTATGCTGTAAGACAAATTCAGACTTCTCTGTTACTAAAATTTGGACTTCCAAACAATAGAATTGAGGCTTGCATTCCTATGAATGTTTTAGACCTATATCTTAGTTTTTCATTCATATATAGTAGACCCAAATTCAAGTTCTACAGCTCCAAATATGACCCAATGACTAAACAATATTCCAGTTTGGACTAAACCAGCATCTCTTTTCTAAGCTTCACCCTCTCTTTGTCTTTTCAATTTCAATAGTTTAACTCATCAATCAATCATTTGATTTATATGATAGGCCTGCATTTAAGATGAATATTTACCATAAATTAAAGGTATCTTATAATATCAGATTTGTTATTATAAAACATGATTTAATTAAAGAGTTATTGATACTTCAAGTGTAAAATGCTAATATAAAACCTTGGTTAAAATGCATTTTTAAGTAATAATCACTAATTCATTTCAAAGTTTTATTTAAAGGTTTGTAGTTTAAGGCGAGATATGATATGCCTTTTTCTATTTCAAAATTTTGTTAACATAAAAAGTCGCACATAACCAAGGTGATCTAAATGTTTGTATAAGACCCATAAACTGTAAATCTTGGATTTCAAGTGTGCAATATTGTTCTAGCTTACCATAAGTCTGGCTTTTATAGGTATTTTTATTTTATTAAAACTATCATTATAAGGGAGAGCAACCATATGTTTTTTTTTTTCTTTCAAAAAGCATTTAGTGAATCAGAACAAATTTTTTATACAATTTTGATTTGAAAATCTAAAATTCTTTTTTGTAAAACAGGATTTTGTAATTGTTGTTCTATTTTATTTTATTTTGTAAAAATACATCTTGTTTAAGATGCATAAACTAAAGTTTTTCAAAAGTCAAATTGTTTATTTGATGAGTATGAACATAATATGCTATGAATAAATTAAGATTTCTAGTTTTTGTTTTTCTAGAAATGGAAAAATATGTTTTGAACCATTAATATTTAAAGTAATGCTTTCATTGCTAGTTTTATAAGGAGTGATCATATCATTGAAAGGAGTGCAAAAAATAACAGTATGATAAAAATCATTTATAAAAACAAAATTGTTTTAAGATAAATTGGTGCCTAATATCATATCCATGACCTAATTTTCTATACAATATGTATGGCTAAGCATATTATCCCTTCACTTGAGTGTTTAAGTTGTATTCTCCAAAACTAAACTTTGGATAACTACCCATGCTTCTATCTCTTTTCTAAATCAAGAAAATAGTGGTGGTAATTGATTAGACCATCATCCTTCTCATCATAGAGCTTGGATTACTTTTATTGTAGTTGATGCATTTGCCATCCATAGTTAGTTATTTTTTAGGCTTAAGCATTTTAGCTTGTCATTAATGCAATATTTTCTCAACATTTCCCTCTAATTCTTCACTCTTAGGAAAAGTCACATAACATGTAGGGCATTTAATATGTACATTTTAAGGTTTTGTGTGTGTATGTGTATTTCAATACTAGTATCTTATTAAGGGTAATCAACCTTGGTCTTATGGAGCTCTCCCTTCTTAAGTAGTCAACTAGGTTTGGGATAGTTAATGCTATAATAACTATAAGAAATAGAAAACCATCCACCTTTATTTTTTATTTAGAAAATGTACACGTCTAGATTATATAGCCTTGTAAATTTAGTTTCTGAATACAATATAGTTATTAGTGTCATGTTCCAATATTCATGCCACTTATAATATTAATTTCCTTGATTATATTACCGATGTAGATTACATAATTGCCAAAAAATTTAATTTATCATTGAACATCAATTGATCAAAAATATCTTTAACTATCATGATATATTTAATTTCCTTGTTACTAGGTTTAGAAGCCTCTGTAGACTTTCACGATGTCTCGATCTCAAATGGTCTCTCATAAGCCCATGTATTTTTGGGTCATGCATGGGCTCTTGGATGGTTGGTCATGCCTAACTGCATCTTTTTTTTTTAATTTTTAATTAGTATTGTTTTTTTTTCTTATGTATTTTCTACTTTTCATTAATTTTTTTTAATTTTAAATAAGACCATCTTTCTTATTTTTTGAGATTTTTTGGTTCATATTTTTTAAATACTTGTTATTTTTGTATTTTTATAATAAAGAGATTATTGTAATTTATTTTTGGAATCTTTTCCTTTCACATTTGATAAAAATAAACTATATTTGCATGATGTATTTATAAAAATAAAATCATTTTTTTCTTGATAAGAAAAAATTGCTTCTAAGATCAAATAAATAAATTGTATAAATTAAAAATAAAAATATGGGTTAAATATTTGCATACTCATCTGTCTTTTACTTTTAGAAGAAAAATTAGCTTTCAATTTCAATTTTAAATTTGAATAAACAACTCTTTCTCATCCTATCAATCAATATATTTTTTAATTTACTTTATTAAGCATAAACAATATCTTTATGTTTTTCAAATAAAAATTAAATCATAATTTAAAAAAATATGTTTGTAACATTGTGATGCACACTGTGGCTACTTTTTTGGCCCAAAAATTGGTTTAGTAGGGCAAAACTGCTAGATTATTTTTTATAAGTTTTTATTTTATTTTATTTTAATTTTGATTTAAATTCATTTAAATAAAATTATTTTTAAGATATTAATTTTAACTTACATTACAAAGGAACAAATTATATGAATCACATAAAAAGGTTTCAATGAAAAAAATATATGCTGGTTCCATAATTTCATTTCTTATCTCGATAGTGAATGTTTGTTTTTATAATCACATGATTAGTTAAAAGATATATTTCAAAAGGTGCTTATGACAATATTTTTTTTTAATATATTTGAGTAAAAAATACCAACATAAGTTTTTCCTTCATGTAAACTTTCTTTTATGATTCTAATTAAATGTTATATATATATATTGCAAAACAAATTACAATGATAAGATAAAAAAAAAGTTTTAATTAAGGAGATGACTTCCTTGTCTTTATTCAAATTTTTAAAGTTTTTTTAATATTTATTCTATATAGTTTTAGTTTCTTCTGAACAAATAGCATGTCTCAAAAAGCTATATTAAAAATAATTATAATAAGAAAAGGAGAAATTATACTATAAAATAATTTTGTTTTAATAGAAATTAAATCAAAGCTCTTCTTGAGGAAAAACAAATCTTTTGACATATAAATTAAAATAATTAGATGAAGATTTTGTTGTTTACCACTAACAAATAAATATTTAATATTTATTGAAACATAATTCTCGATTATTTTATATTACAAAGGGACTTTTATACATCGCAGAGCGGAGCACACATCAGCTAACCAGTAAATAAACAAATTAGCTAAGAACAGTTATGTTAAATCCAATCCAACCCGTGCGAAGGAACGAAGTGCAGCAAGTGAAGTATGAGGTACAACTTTTAACTCAAAAACCAAAAAGAAAAAAAAAAATACAGGGACCAAGGCTACATCATCACGATAATATAAAATTATTGCGCTTTAGAAGCTCAAGCTTAAAGTCTAATTTCAATAAAACCTCAACTACTCAACAATAATTTGTTCATCTAATAACTATGTAACTAGTGAAGTTTTGACCTCATACAAAATCACAAATAAAAACCATTAAACAGTTTTGTGGCTTTTCGGCTGTAACATGTATAAGAAAATGCCTCCAGCAACTGCGACATTGAGAGAGTCAAACTCTCCTGTCATTGGTATACTCAAAAGCTCACATTCACGTTGAGCTTTTTCTGAAAGGCCATGCCCCTCGCTACCCAAAACCAAGCACAATGGAACCCTGGCAAAACAATCTGCAAGCCCTTGAGATAGCTGTGACACGGGTCTCGATTTGTCATTACAGTCTGGATGGCCAGCTAGCATCTTCATCTGGTATTCATCTTTGAGAGCTTCAAGATGATACCAGCTGCCAGAAACTATGGGGATCTGAAAGGACGCTCCTCGGCTAGCTCGGAGGACTTTACTATTGAATGGATCACAACAACCAGGAAGTAAGAACACACCACCCTGTTGTCTATCATCATCAATATTAGCCCTTCGGTTTTTCAATTATGAATTGAGAAAGCAGTGGACAAGAAAATCTATTCTAAGGAATGCATAGGATGTAATAATTTGTCCAAAGGGAAGTTTCATGAAGGCATGATATTACCTCCAGTTCAGACAACGAATAGGTAAAATGCAATGACTGCAGCCATTTTATTGCAGCTAATAGGTGAATTGAGAGAAAAATATTCTCAAAAGTTTCAAATATATGGTCCACCATGATGATAACAGTGGAGGGAAACATTTGAGTTTAGTCGTAACTGATGTCATTGTGTGAATGAAATGACTTCACAACAACCTTAGAAAACTCAGAATGGAGGTTCGCTAATAATGTATACTGGGTGTTCAGGATAAAATGCGCCTAACCAATGGAAAAAAGATAACAAAAGAAAGAAGAAGAAAGGGTTCAGAAGCAGAAAAAAAAAGATATAAATGACATTTGCACTTGGTGCTTACCCATCCCAATGCCAAAGCTGATCTGAGTAATGTACCAAGGTTACCTGGATCCTGCAGTGAATGACACAAATTTTAGCACCTCAAACAACAGGAAAAGTAATTTAAAGGTTCACAGGTGTAAAATAAATTCCAGTGCGACTGCACAACAAATAGCTCTGATTAACATGATGTCAACACACTGAAGCTGTTGTTTAGATGGCATCATTTTTATCCGACCATAGCAATATTAAAAATTGAGTTTCAGAAATTGATGCAAAAAATGAAATGAAGAACGCAAGAATGAGTGACCTCTAGAAACTGATTGGCTCTTAGTATTTACCAGCTGTTTGTTTATGGATTAGCGAGCAGGGCAAAAGACTCCACCAAGCAATGAGCTTATTCTGGAAGTAACGCATTTCATCTATCTATGTGATTAAGTTTAATTGTTTTGACCATGATGACAGGCAAATTTTAAAACTTGATGATGCCACAAGGCAACTCATGCAGTTATTAATCAAGCAGGCTAACAAAAGTGAAAATGGTGAAGTAACTGGAAACGACAAGGGACTTCAAAAGAACTGGAGGAAAAAAGTTAGTCAAAATGTAAAAATCATGTCTCGCTAACGTATTAATCCACCACAAATTCAGAACACATGTATGATCCTGATAATCTAATACCATTTATTAAAAGAGGATAAATCAACTAAAAAGAGACATTGTCGAAAAAGTGCTGGTGTTTATTTTACATCTTTAATTTGGTACAAAAGATAAAGCTATATTTTCATTCAATCCAAGTGGTTTAAATGTTCAATGATTTTAGGTGAACGCTTTTTAGGTCAATGTTCTATATAGTTCAAGAATTTCACATTACCAATTGTTTTGCTTCTATTTTGCCATTGCTTGTCTCACAGATATACTAGAAAGATCAGTACAAAGAGGGGAATACAAGCCAATGGCTCCATATCTTAAGACGATAGCATTAAGGCAAAGGAAAGATGAGAGGTAAGGCAAGTAATTTTAGAATCAGTTATCACCCTTTGGTGATGTTTCATGGTTGGAATTGTCACCATCTTCCTAATGGCTTCTCTGTATGGCTTTCTTAATAACAATTGTTAATCACATTCATGAAGGGAAAAAAGGGAAGAAAGATAGAAAAGTAAGAACTGTTTAGTGGAATAACCTGGATCCCCTCGAGGACTAAAATTCGGTGCGGAGATGGGAACCATTTCCGGCTATAATCTTGATGATTGTCTACAACAAAATAGGTGGTAGGAAATTTCATGAGAGCAATAGCATCAACAGATTCAGTAGACTGCAACTGTGAAAGCTTTTTCATCACGACAGAGCTCACACGCACAACACGAGCAGAGGACTTGTCGTCGAGGACTTGGGAGACCTCTGCTTCATCAAGAAGAAGTAAATATTCCAATTCAACGGTCCTTTCTTGCAAGGACTCTTGAGATCTGTGTATCTCCCTGTTTACATCACGTCACTGGCTCATTGTTATAATAATCGATTGAGAGTAATTTATTATAGAGCTAGCTGATGCACGAAATGGATTACGAGCAAAAAAGAATTCATCAACCACCAGCGAGCATTTGTGTTTACAATTACGTGACTTTGAAACCCAAAATGATTTATTCAAAAAATAAATAAATAAATAAATAAATAAATAAATAAATAAATAAATAAATAAATAAATAAATAAATAAATAAATAAATAAATAAATAAATAAATAAATAAATAAATAAATAAATAAATAAATAAATAAATAAATCACACCAGCACCTGATAGGGGTAGAACCCACAACAAGAGCTGAAGCATGAGAGTGACGATAAGAGGAGTTTTGTTGGAGCTTGAGACAGTGCTTAACAAAAGGGTTTGAAGTGCTTGTTATTGATTTTACATGACCTCCTGCTGCTGCTGCCTTTATTATTATTCTTGGTATTGGTAATGCAAATCTTGAATTATCGCCGCCGCCGCCGCCTGTATTGTCAAAGCAATGATAATAACAGGTTTCAGTTGTTAGCTTTGCCTTCGAGTTTCGGAGTTTTACAGAAGCTTGAGCTGGTATCCAGGAACCGGATGTGTACGCGCTCTGCATATTCTTTCCTTTTATTATTTGTTCCTATAATTCATGTTTTCTATTCACTCTTTACATCAACCGTTGTTCCTTTCTATCCCCTATCCCCTGTAGCCAGAATTCCGGTAGATTAACTTACGACTTACGAGAGAGGTGTTTTTTTTTTTTTTTAATTCTCTATATATATATATATATATATATACTCTAAATGGTTTAGGAAAATTACTATTTCCTCACACATATTATGAATTATTGTTATAATTTATAGTTTTTTTTAACTTTTTTCTTTTTTTTCTTAAAATTACTTACTTTTTTTTCAAAAAAATTTTTGCATTAATTTTTTTTAAAATTATTTTTGTTGATTTTACTTTTTAAATATTGATCTGATTAAAAATTTTACTTTGTAATTTTTTCTTTAGAATACTATGGATTGTGTGATATTTTCCCACGTAGTTTTTTTATTTTATTTTTTTATTTTTTTAAATTATATTTGTTAATTTTTTATTATTGAGTTGATTGAAAATTTAGTTTTGTAATTTTTTCTTTAAAACATTGTTGATTATTACAGTATTTCTCTGCATATTTTTTTATAATTTTTTTTAAATTATTTTTTTATTTTATTTTTTAATATTAAGCTGATTAAAAATTACAGTTACAATATGTGAGGAAAGCACTATAACTTTCCTCGAAAACTATTGTGGATTGTTATAGTGTTTTTTCTATATGGTTTTGTTTTTGTTTTTGTTATGTTTTTCTCTAAAATTATCTTTCTTAATTTTATTTTTTAAATATTAAGCTGGTTAAGAATTGCAATTATAAATAAATACAAGTTTTTTCTCACATGTTTTTTTTTTCCAGTTTCTTTTGTGTTTTTTTGTAATATTTTTTTCTAAAATTATCTTCGTTGATTTTTTTTAAAATATTGAGTTGGTTAGAATTTAACTTTTTAATAAAGCTTAATCATGTGAGGAAAGCATTGTATCTTTCCTTACAAAATATTATAAATTGCTATAGCATCTCTTCACATGATTTTTTTCTTATAATTTTTTTAAATTATCTTTGTTAATTTTATTTTTTTAATATTAGGTTGCTTAATAATTACAATTACAAGTCATTACAAATAAGACTAAATTATGTGGGGAAGCACTGTAATGTTCATCACAAAACACTGTGAATTGCTATAGTATTTCCAACATGATGTTTTTTCCCTTTTTTTGGTGTTTGTTTTTTTTTTCTAAAATTGTCTTTGTTGGTTTTTTTTAATATTGAGTTGATTAAGAATTTAGTTTTGTAATTTTTTTCTTTAAAACACTGTGAATTGTTACAGTATTTTTTTTATATGATTTTTTTATGATTTTTTCTAAAATTATCTTTGTTTTTTTTTTTTGAATATTGAGTTGATTAAGAATTATAATTACAATAAAGCAAAATTATATGAAAAAAGTATTGTATTTTTTCTTACAAAATACCATGGATTGTAACAATATTTCTCTAAATGATATTCAAATTTTAAGGACTTAATTTCAAATTTAAAAAAATATTCAAATTTTTTTCTTAAAAAAAAACATCTTTACATCAGCTTCTCAACTTAATCTTTAGTTAGAATTAATTAGATTTGTTATTATTTATTATCACATGTAATTTTTAATTTATTTTTTTAAATACACGTATAAATTTTTTAATTTATAGTTAAAATTTTTACTGAAGATATAAAAACTGTCAACAATGCCTGCATCTTTTTTGTGTTGAAAAAAAAAAAACATCATCCTGCAATTTAGTGCGAAGAAGCAATCTAGTTATAGGAATTTTAATTAAGAAGCTCGTAATATTATAAAAGGCAACTAAAAGCCCCTCTCCTTTGATTTTATATATTGGGATTTGTTTTGATTTTCATATTATTATATACTTGATATATCATGTAATATTCTGATGTTAAATTAAAGATTGATTTTATAAAATATGATTTTATGTTGTTAAAAAAGAAGAAGAACAATGGCCAAAATTAACATGTGAGAAAAATGCCTTTTTCCACTTACATCGTTCAAAATGTTCCTATAAAAAAAATTCAATTTAGTCCCTTAAATTTTATCACTTATATGATTGATTCATGTTCTTTTTCTTTTTTACTTTTACATTTCATTTATGAAATCTCATTTATTGTTCATTTCAGTCCCCTATTATTATAAAAGTAGAGAGAAAGCCTCTAAAAAAACAAAAATAAGAGAAAAGGCTCACAGATGGTCAAATTACAGGTGCCAATAACTACAATTTTAGTGTCTCTATGTTCATATTTGAGAGGGGAATTTAATGAAGGTGGGTTCTACCTTTAACAATGCCTGAAAAAGCATATTAGATCTCAACAAACTTTTTATTTGATTTTTTATTTTAGTTTAATTAAAATGTGTTTTGTAATTATAAATATTTTGTTTTATAATGTTTTATTTATTTTTCATGTTTTTGGGTTAAAACTAATTGAAATATAAATTTTTAAGATCCACCTTAATTTTTCAATCACCAAATCCTCCTCTTATAATTGGGAAATATTATAAGTTGATGACCCATCATCCTTTTTATAAATAATAATAATAATAATAATAATAATAAATTATCTGTTCTTTTTTAAAAAATAAACATAAAAAATTAAGTATATGTCTAACCTTCTAGGACCCAGCACGCTAGGTTTTTAAATTTTGTGCTAGGTGCTTGGGTTGTCCTTTCACCCTAAGCAAACTTGCCCTTTTTTTTAAATGATCTATTACATTTTCTATTTTTTACATTTTATAATTATACTCTCTTATTTAAATAATTATCTAACTCAAATTCTGTAAAGTTTTTAATTATGATAGTAATAATTACTTTTTAGATAATTATATATAAATCCCATATGCATATATTTTTAAAAGTTTTGTTCATTAATATTTAATGTAAATAAAATATATATTTTATTACATTTTTTATACATTCAAATAAAAATTATTGATTCATATTTTTTTTACAGAGAATTGATTTTAGAATTATGATAAGTTTTTATTTAAAAAAAATTACATGTTTTTGTTAAAAGAACACACATGAATAACAAAAGGTGAATGTAGACTACAAAAATAGAATTTTTGTTTTACCTTTCTTACTAACATCCATTTCAATTATCATATAATTAAAAAGAAAATTGAAAAGTTCATCAATATTCATTTTACAAGGAAAATTAATTTTTAATTTTAATATTTAATCAGCATTAATAACTCTAATATTTTTTTTTCTTGTCAATTTTAAGTAAAAAAATAATTTCTTGATGCCAAAAAAATGAATGTACAACACAGGCGTACACGACTAGTCGCTTAAATATTTTATTACTAGGGATGTGACCAAATTATACACAAGCTAGTGTGTATTCTATAATTTCTTCTAGTATTGACTCCTATTGATTTGCAATTTCTTCAATATAACTATTAAATAGAAGAAAGGTATCCCCATTGTATTATACAAAGCATAATAGATCTCCTGTTGAGTAAAAAGAAAGAACACAGAAAAAAAGAAAAGAAATAGATGGATAATAAAAAAGAAAATCAATTTTAAATTCACAGAAAATAACAAGAATATTGTCATAGAAACAGAAATATATTTTTATTTTCTCTCTTATTTCTCCCTCTTATATAGAGTAACCATGAACAATTATTTATAAGCACTGCCTGTTGCAAACTGATTCCCGGTTACAAGCTCTGGGTTTGCAAAACTGAGCATCCCTGATAATTCATTAGGCGGCATCCACGTTCTCGGTTTGAATCTTGTGCATATCAATTTTAGACTGATAATTTCTGATACTTTTTTCATACAAAAGAAATACATTGATGGCCCATATAAGACAGGGTAGGTTTTATACCTTGGAAGAGTTCGCTGAGAATATTTCTTAAATGTTTTCTCTGAAATTTAGATTCCCAAGTGGAAAATAAACAACATTGCTGGTGTCCTACATCCTCGCCAAAGTCATTGAAACTCCCTGGCTGGAAAAACCATCTATTAAATTAATGTGCTCTCAGAATACATCCTTTCAGATTGATACATGTATAGACTCTCTGATGTTTTCTGCGGACCGTTATTTCTCTGAACAATTGGAGGCATATACATAGTTTTTGTCGTCGGTGGCATAGCTTCAGCTCTCTGGGATGCTGGAATCATATTGTCTGTCCTTTGAGATGTTGCAGAGCTGTAAACCCTTTCAGAACTTGGATATGAAGCAACATCAGGCCTCTGTGATGTTAAGCCAATATGGTCATTCCTGTGAGCTGCAGCGGATGTGTATTTCCTCTCAGTTGGAAACATGTGATCGTTCCTTTGAAATGACTGGACCATGCTGTCACTCAAGTGAGAAGTTATAATATCATGTAACCTCTCAGAAGCAGGATGAGCAGCAGTGTCAGTCAGGCGAGAGGTTGGAGTCAGACTGCTGTCTTTGAGCAATCCTGGACCCATATTATCATTCTGACGAGGCGTTGCCATGTATACACACTCAGGAGTTAAATCCATTGCAGCATCAATCCTCTTCAAAGAAGGGGCAGCATTGTTTCTCCTCTGAGAAGTAGGTGGTAAATAGATCCTCTGAGAAATTTGAGAAATTTGAGAGATGCTTTCAGTACTCTGAGATGTTAGGGTCGGAGTTTCATTCCACTGAGATGGTACAGGTATATATATTCCTTCAGATGTCTGGCATGTGGTTAACGATATTTCTTGGCTTGATAGCTTTATCTCTGATGCATGAGGTATAGTGGGTGGTATCTTCGCCTGTAAATCCTTCTCAGCTGTTGGAGGTAAAACCAGGGATGCCTCCTGGTTATGCAAATCCTTGTCAGTTATTGAAGGCACTGATGACCCTCCTGATTTTGGTAAATTCTCACACAGCAGCTCTCTATGCTTCCGAGGATTTCTCTCTGGTGCCGGTGACTTGCCAGGTGAATCTCTCTCAGATGGAGGCAATGCTGAACAAACCCCTCCACTTGTCATGTCCATCTCATTCGATGTATGCATAGACAGCGAGACTCCTATGCTAGGTAACTCTCTCCATTGTTGTGCAACTGTCTTAATCTGGGTATAAAATTGCACACCTGTCTTTCCTGCATTCAGAA